CAAACACCGGGAATCACGGCAGGAAAATGCCGTGAAAAGAGACAGCGGGAAAAACGGGAATCACAGCCAAGAAAAACAGGAATCACAGCCGGGAAAACACCGGGAGAGACAACGGGAAAAACGGGAATCATGGCCGGGAAAAACAGGAATCACAGCTGGGAAAAATGGGAATCACAGCCAGGAAAGCACCGGGAAAAACACCAGGAAAAACGGGAATCGTGGCCGGGGAAAAACGGGAATCACAGCTGGGAAAAATGGGAATCACAGTCAGGAAAACACTGGGAGAGACGCCAGGATAGACGCCAGGAAAAACACCGGGAAAAACGGGAATCATGCCCAGGAAAACGGGAGAGACACCGGGATAAACACCGGGAAAAACACTGGGAAAAACAGGAATCACAGCCAGGAAAAACACTGGGAGAGACACCGGGAAAAACACTGGGAAAACCGGGAATCAGTGCTGGGAAAAACGGGATAGACACCAAGAAGAACGGGAATTAGAGCTGGAAAAAACGGGAATCACAGCCCAGGAAAACGGGAGAGACACCGGGATAAACACCAGGATAAACACTGGGAAAAACAGGAATCACAGCCAGGAAAAACACCGGGAGAGACACCGGGAAAAATGGGAATTAGAGCCGGAAAAACCGGGAATCAGAGCCCGGGAAAAAGGGGAATCAGCACTGGGAAAAACGGGAATCAGTGCCCAGGAAAATGGGAATCACAGCCCAGGAAAACGGGATAAGACACCAGGAAAAACACTGGGAAAAAGCAGGAATCAGCACTGGGAAAAACGGGAATGAGAGCCCAGGAAAACGGGATAGACACCGGGAAAAAATGGGAATTATCACTGGGAATAATGGGAATCAGCACCGGGAAAAACCAGGAATCAGAGCCCGGGAAAATGGGAATTAGCACTGGGATAAACACTGGGAAAAATTGGAATCAGAGTCCAGGAAACAGGAATTAACACTGGGAAAAACTGGTAATCAGTGCCAGGAAAAATGGGAATTAGCACTGGGAAAAAATAGGAATTAGAGCCCAGGAAAATGGGAATTAGAGCCCGGAAAAATGGGAAAAACACCAGGAAAAGCGGGAATCGGCAGTGGGAAAAGTGGGAATCAGCATCCAGAAAAAAAGGAATCAGCACCAGGAAAAACCAGGATAACCGCTGGGAAAAACTGGGATAACTGCCTGGGAAAAACCGGGATAACCATTGGGAAAAATCAGGATAACATCCTGGGAAAATTGGGATAATTGCCAGGAAAAAACTGGGATAACATCCTGGGAAAATTGGGATAATCACCGGGAAAAACCGGGATAATGACCCAGGAAAACAGAGGACAACAGCCCAGGATAATGTGGGATAACGACAGCGGATAACGAGGGAAAACCTGGGATAATCTGGGATAACAGCCCAGGAAAAACCGGGATAACAGTTCAGGAAAAACCAGGATAACGACCCAGGATAACGAAGGAAAATGTGGGATAACAACCTGGGAAAAACTGGGATAATGACACGGGATAACCTGGGGTAACAACCAAGGAAAAAACAGGATAAGAACCCCGGATAATGCGGGATAACAAAGGATAACAATCCGGGATAATTTGGGATAATAACCTGGGAAAATGTGGGATAACAGCCTGGGATAATGTGGGATAAAAATCTGGGATAAACTGGGTAACAGCCCAAGAAAACCTGGGATAAAACCCAAGAAAACACGGGACAACAGCCCAGGAAAAACTGGGATAACAACCGGGGATAATTTGGGATGACAACCTGGGATAACAAGGGAAAACAACCCAGGATAATTTGGGATAACAACCTGGGATAACATGGGACAACAACCCAGGATAATCTGGGATAACAACCTGGGATAACATGGGATAACAACCCAGGATAATTTGGGATAACAACCTGGGATAATCTGGGATAACAACCCAGGACAATTTGGGATAACAACCTGGGATAACATGGGATAACAACCCAGGATAATTTGGCATAATAACCTGGGATAACAACCCAGGATAATTTGGGATAATAACGTGGGATAATCTGAGATAACAACCCAGGACAATGTGGGTAAAAACCCGCGATAACATGGGATAAGAATCCAGGATAATTTGGGATAACAGCCCTGGAAAAACTAGGATAACAACCAAGGATAACGGGAGAATAACCTGGGATAATCTTGGACAACAGCCCAGGAAAAGCTGGGATAACAACCCAGGAAAAGCTGGGATAACAACCCGGGATAACGGGATAATAGCCTGGGATAATCTTGGATAACAGCCCAGGAAAAACTGGGATAACAACCCAGGATAATTTGGGATAACAACCCCGGATAATTTGGGATAACAACCCAGGACAATGTGGGTAACAACCCAGGATAATCTGGGATAACAACCCCGGATAATTTGGGATAATAACCTGGGATAATCTGGGATAACAACCCCGGATAATTTGGGATAACACCAAGAAAAAACTCAGAAAACAACCCAAGAAAATGTGGGATAACAACCTGGGATAACAGGATAATAGCCTGGGATAATCTTGGACAACAGCCCAGGAAAAGCTGGGATAACCACCTGGGATAACATGGGATAACAACCCAGGATAATTTGGGATAATAACCTGGGATAATCTGGGATAACAACCCAGGACAATTTGGGATAATAACCTGGGATAACAACTCAGGATAATTTGGGATAATAACCTGGGATAACATGGGATAACAGCCCAGGATAATTTGGCATAATAACCTGGGATAACAACCCAGGATAATTTGGGATAATAACCTGGGATAACAACCCAGGATAATTTGGGATAACAACCTGAGATAACATGGGATAACAGCCCAGGACAATGTGGGTAAAAACCCGGGATAACATGGGATAAGAATCCAGGATAATTTGGGATAACAGCCCTGGAAAAACTGGGATAACAACCCAGGATAACAGGAGAATAGCCTGGGATAATCTTGGACAACAGCCCAGGAAAAACTGGGATAACAACCCGGAATAATGAGGGAACACAGAGCTCCCACCCCCACAAAAACCTGGGACAAACTGGGATTTGTGGCTACCAGGGAGAGCCGGGACACCGGGAATGCTCCCGGGACAACCCCAGCAGATCCCAGCGGATCCCGGAGGATCCCGGCGGATCCCGGGACGCCGCGGGAATGCCGGCACTCACCGCAGCAGCCGGTAGGGCCGCGTGGACAGGTCCAGGTCAAACCAGGCCACCTTGCTGTCGTAGCTCCCGCAGATCACGTTGTCCCCTAGGGAAAAACCCCGGAGTCAGCGGGATCCCGGCGTTCCCCTGGGAGATCCCGGCATTCCCGGGCAGATCCCGCACCTCCGGGGTGCACGGCCATGCTGGAGATCCACTGGCAGTTGCTCTGGAGTTTCTTGGTGAGCTCCTGGCGGAGCAGGTTGTAGACGCGCACGGATCGCTGGGAAGCCACCAGGAAGTAGGGCCGGAGCGGGTGGAACTGCACGCACTGGATCATTCCCGGGCTCTTCCGGAAGGGATCCTGGCTCCAGCGCCGGCTGCTCTGGTGGATCAGCACCTGCCGGCTGCCGGGGTTCCGCACCACCGAGGCCCAGTAATCGCCCTTGCCGTGCCACGTCACCTGCGTCACCGGCTGGGGATGGAATGGGATTGGGATTGGGAATGGGATCCACGTGAGATCCCAAAATCCCGACCCTCTGGATCACCGCCGAGGCACAGGAATCGCCCTGGCCGTGCCACGTCACCTGCGTCACCGGCTGGGGGTGGAATGGGATTGGGAATGGGATTGGGAATGGGATCCGGGTGAGATCCCGAAATCCTGACCCTCTGGATCAACACCAGGGCACGGGAATCGCCCTGGCCGTGCCACGTCACCTGCGTCACCGGCTGGGGGTGGAATGGGATTGGGAATGGGATTGGGAATGGGATCCGGGTGAGATCCCGAAATCCTGACCCTCTGGATCAACACCAGGGCACGGGAATCGCCCTGGCCGTGCCACGTCACCTGCGTCACCGGCTGGGGGTGGAATGGGATTGGGAATGGGATTGGGAATGGGATCCGGGTGAGATCCCGAAATCCTGACCCTCTGGATCAACACCAGGGCACGGGAATCGCCCTGGCCGTGCCACGTCACCTGCGTCACCGGCTGGGGGTGGAATGGGATTGGGAATGGGATTGGGAATGGGATCCGGGTGAGATCCCGAAATCCTGACCCTCTGGATCAACACCAGGGCACGGGAATCGCCCTGGCCGTGCCACGTCACCTGCGTCACCGGCTGGGGGTGGAATGGGATTGGGAATGGGATTGGGAATGGGATCCGGGTGAGATCCCGAAATCCTGACCCTCTGGATCAACACCAGGGCACGGGAATCGCCCTGGCCGTGCCACGTCACCTGCGTCACCGGCTGGGGGTGGAATGGGATTGGGAATGGGATTGGGAATGGGATCCGGGTGAGATCCCGAAATCCTGACCCTCTGGATCAACACCAGGGCACGGGAATCGCCCTGGCCGTGCCACGTCACCTGCGTCACCGGCTGGGGGTGGAATGGGATTGGGAATGGGATTGGGAATGGGATCCGGGTGAGATCCCGAAATCCTGACCCTCTGGATCAACACCAGGGCACGGGAATCGCCCTGGCCGTGCCACGTCACCTGCGTCACCGGCTGGGGGTGGAATGGGATTGGGAATGGGATTGGGAATGGGATCCGGGTGAGATCCCGAAATCCTGACCCTCTGGATCAACACCAGGGCACGGGAATCGCCCTGGCCGTGCCACGTCACCTGCGTCACCGGCTGGGGGTGGAATGGGATTGGGAATGGGATTGGGAATGGGATCCGGGTGAGATCCCGAAATCCTGACCCTCTGGATCAACACCAGGGCACGGGAATCGCCCTGGCCGTGCCACGTCACCTGCGTCACCGGCTGGGGGTGGAATGGGATTGGGAATGGGATTGGGAATGGGATCCGGGTGAGATCCCGAAATCCTGACCCTCTGGATCAACACCAGGGCACAGGAATCGCCCTGGCCGTGCCACGTCACCTGCGTCACCGGCTGGGGATGGAATGGGATTGGGAATGGGATTGGGATTGGGATGGGGATCCGGGTGAGATCCCAAGATCCCGATCTTCTGGATCATCCTGGAAGTCCCCGAGATAGGAATGGGATTGGGAATGGGATCTGGGAGAGATCCCAGAATTCCGATCCTCTGGATCACCACCGAGGCCCAGTAATTGCCCTTGCCGTGCCACGTCACCTGCGTCACCGGCTGGGGATGGAATGGGATTGGGAATGGGAATGGGATTGGGAATGGGATGGGGATGAGAATAGGAATGTGAGATCCTGAGATCCTGATCTTCTGGATCATCCTGGAGCTCCTCGGTCTGGGAATGGGAACAGGAATGGGAATGGGAACAAACTGGGAATGAGAACAGGAATGGGATCTGGGTGAGATCCTGATCTTCTGGATCATCCTGGAGCTCCTTGGGATGGGAATGGGAATGCGAACAGGAACGGGATCCAGATGAGATCCCGACTTTCTGGATCGTCCTGGAGCTCCCACGGTGGGAACAGTGGGATCAGGGAAGGGGAGAGGGTGAGAGTTTGGTTGGTGGGTCCAGAGATGGGAATGGGAATGGGAACGGGAGTGGGATTGGGATTGGGGGAATTCCCAGGAACGGCTCAGGGAGCTGTTGGAGCTCATCCCAGAGAACAGCGGGATTGAAGGGATCCAGGGGGATCCAGGGCGGGATCTGCTCCCAGGGAACGAGGACAGGACCCGAGTGAGATCCTGAGTTTCTGGATCATCCCAGAGCTCCTCGGGGTGGAAATGGGAATGGGAATGAGATTGGGAATGAGAACAGGAACAGGATCCATGTGAGATCCTGAGATCCTGATCTTCTGGATCATCCTGGAGCTCCTCGGTCTGGGAATGGGAACAGGAATGGGAATGGGAACAAACTGGGAATGAGAACAGGAATGGGATCTGGGTGAGATCCTGATCTTCTGGATCATCCTGGAGCTCCTTGGGATGGGAATGGGAATGCGAACAGGAACGGGATCCAGATGAGATCCCGAGATCCCGACTTTCTGGATCGTCCTGGAGCTCCCACGGTGGGAACAGCGGGATCAGGGAAGGGGAGAGGGTGAGAGTTTGGTTGGTGGGTCCAGAGATGGGAATGGGAATGGGAACGGGAGTGGGATTGGGATTGGGGGAATTCCCAGGAACGGCTGAGGGAGCTGTTGGAGCTCATCCCGGAGAAAAGCGGGATTGAAGGGATCCAGGGGGATCCAGGGCGGGATCTGCTCCCAGGGAACGAGGACAGGACCCTGGGAACAGCCTTGGGTTGGGATTTTCGGGAATATTCCCCTGGAAAGGGCTGGAATTCCAGGATTTGAGGCCCTGGGAAGCTGGGCAGGGACTGAGGCTGAGGATTCCTGGGAGAAGCTGGGAAAAGGGGCCGACCCCAACTGGAATTCCTGTGGCTCCGGGAAATGTTCCCAGGGATCCCTGGAAAACGGGGCTGGGGAAAGGCTCCGGCACTTCCCGGGATTCCTGGGAATGGAAAGGGATCCCTTGGGATGTGGAGAGAGAGTCAGGATCCATTTGGGATCCATCCCTCGGGATGTGGAGCAGGGAACAAGGATCCTCTTGGAATTGTGTCCCTCGGGATGCGGATGTGGGAACGAGCCCAGGATCCTGGGCTGGGATCGATCCACAAACCCCAGATCCCGGGAATGCCGAGCCCAGCCAGATCCTGGGAATATCGACCTCAGATGGATCCTGGGAATGCTGAGCCCAGCCAGATCCTGGGAATATTGACCTCGGATCTCGGGAATGCTGAACCCACATGAATCACAGGAATGCCGATCCCACCCGGATCCCGAGAATGCCAATCCCAGCTGGATCCCAGCTGGATCCCACCCAGATCCCAGGAATGCTGATCCCAGCCGGATCCCAGGAATGCCGATCCCACCCAGATCCCGGGAATGCCGATTCCAGCTGGATCCCAGGAATGCTGAGCCCAGCTGGATCCCAGGAATGTTGATCCCACCCAGATCCTGGGAATGCCAATCCCACCCAGATCCTGGGAATGCCGATCCCACCCAGATCCCGGGAATGCCTGGATACTGGGAATGATGATCCCACCTGAATCCCAGGACTGATGATCCCACCCAAACCCTGGGAATACCGATCCCACCCAGATCCCAGGAATGCCGATCCCATCCAGATCCCGGGAATGCCGATCCCACCCGGATCCCGGGAATGCCGATCCCACCCAGATCCCGGGAATGCCGATCCCACCCGGATCCCGGGAATGCCGATCCCACCTTGCCGTGCTGCACCAGCAGCCGGATCCCCTTCCCGCGCTCCTCGGGGCTGGCCGGGATCCACCGCACCGGCTGCACCCGCTCCTCCTCCGGAGCTTCCCAGGAATCCAGGAGCTGATCCGTGGCTGCCACCAGCAGCCGGTCCCCGAGGCCCGGATTCACCAGGAGCACCTGCTCATCCCTGGGGAACGGGAAATCCGGGATCAGGGGAAATCTGGGATCAGGGGATCCTCTGGGATCAGGGAATTCCCCCCAGGAGCAGCTGCTCATCCCTGGGGAATGGGAAATCCAGGATCAGGGGAAATCTGGGATCAGGGGATCCTCTGGGATCAGCGGGAATCCAGGATCAAGGGATCCTCTGGGATCAGGGAATTCCCCCCAGGAGCAGCTGCACATCCCTGGGGAATGGGAAATCCGGGATCAGGGGAAATCTGGGATCAGGGAATCCTCTGGGATCAGGGAATTCCCCCCAGGAGCAGCTGCTCATCCCTGGGGAACGGGAAACCCGGGATCAGGGGGAATCCGGGATCAGGGGATCCTCTGGGATCAGGGGGAATCCGGGATCAGGGGATCCTCTGGGATCAGGGGATCCTCCCCAGGAGCAGCTGCTCATCCCTGGGGAACGGGAAATCTGGGATCAGGGGGAATCCGGGATCAGGGGGAATCCGGGATCAAGGGATCCTCCCCAGGAGCAGCTGCTCATCCCTGGGCAATGGGGGAATGGGAAATCCGGGATCAGGGGGAAATCTGGAATCAGGGAATCCTCTGGAATCACAGAAACCTCCCCAGAAGCAGCTACTCATCCCTTAGGAATGGGATCAGGGGAAATCCAGGATCAGGGAACTCTCCTGTGGGACAGGAATGGGATTGGGATGCTCCAAATCCAGGCACGGAATGAACTCTGGCAGAGGATCTGGGATCTCCAGAGGAAAAGGGACAGGAATGGGATTGGGATGCTCCAAATCCAGGCACGGAATGAACTCTGGCAGAGGATCTGGGATCTCCAGAGGAAAACTGGGAATGATCCCTGGGGAAGGATCCCTGGGAGGTCACACAGTAACGGGACTGGGATTCCAGGAAAAACTGGGAATGATCCCTGGGGAATGATCCCAGGGGACTCACATGGGCACCGGGCAGAAGGAGGGGTTGGGGTTCCAAGGAAATCTGGGAATGATCCCTGGAAAGATCCCTGGGGAATGATCCCTGGGAATGATCCCTGGAATGATCCCAGGGGACTCACGGCCACGGCCACCAGGGAGATGGTGGGGCTGGGATTCCAGGGAAATCTGGGAATGACCCCAGGGAAATCTGGGAATGATCCCGGGGACTCACACGGCCACGGCCACCAGGCAGACGGAGGGGTTGGGGTTCCAGGGAAATCTGGGAATGATCCCTGGGGAATGATCCCAGGGAAATCTGGGAATGATCCCGGGGACTCACACGGCCATGGCCACCAGGCAGACGGAGGGGTTGGGGTTCCAGGGAAATCTGGGAATGATCCCAGGGAATGATCCCTGGGGAATGATCCCAGGCGACTCATGGCCACCAGGCAGATGGAGGGGATGGGGTTCCAGGGAAATCTGGGAATGACCCCAGGGAAATCTGGGAATGATCCCGGGGACTCACACGGCCACGGCCACCAGGCAGATGGTGGGGCTGGGATCCCAGTGAAATCTGGGAATCATCCCAGGGAATGATCCCAGTGAAATCTGGGAATCATCCCAGGGAATGATCCCAGGGAAATCTGGGAATCATCCCAGGGAATGATCCCAGGGAAATCTGGGAATGATCCCGGGGACTCACACGGCCACGGCCACCAGGCAGACGGAGGGGTTGGGGTTCCAGGGAATGATCCCCAGGGAATGATCCCTGGGAATGATCCCGG